GGGAGATGGCAGAGGGTAAGAGATAGGGAATCAAGGATGGGGGAATAAAAAGCAAAACAGAAAGGAAACAAGAAATGGAAAATTATTTGCTGGCAATAACATGTTTGTTGATGTGCTTGATTGAGACAATATACAGTGTACCCTAGATGGAAAATCTAAAAAAAAAAGATTATGATAATAAATAGAGTTAAATTTTTAAAAACTTACTTTCTCAAGACAGTATAGTAGCTTATATGTTGGTTTCAATTCTACAGAGATCTCCTGGGACTAGGGTTCCTTTAAGAGTCCCTGGAATAGGGACCAGCAGATGTTGTAGCATTTACATTGCAGGACTCTCCCATGGCTGACCTGGTTCGAGTCCCAGATTCAGTGGTTTGAAACTCACCCTGGGCATATGTACATGCATGCCCAACATTCTGGGAGAATTGAGAAGGGACTATGGCATTGCTATCCACCCCCACCCCCCCGGGTGGGGTTGTGCTTTCTCACTTTCCCTCTCACTGTCTGTGTGTGTGTCTCTCTCTAGTGAGTACACATGCCCTAAGGCCAAAATATCTTTTTTTTTTTTAAAAAAAAAAGACCCTAGAATATATTTTGCCATAAAGAATAAAACATACTTTGGTCTCTGGTGACTGAAGAGGACAATAAAGGAGTAGTTGGTGGGAAGCAGCTTTGTTTTTCATTTTGTGGGCTCTGAATCTATTATACAAGCCAGGATATGGTCTGGAAACCTGAAGTAATTGTTGTCCTTACCGCAATGAGACAGAAAATTATAATCAAAATCATCACTACTACAGTCACGGATATTGCCAAGATGAGTTTGTTATTATAGCCGTATCCAGGAACTTCTTTTGTGAGCTTAAAAGAAAAGAAAAAACACAAAATTTTATTTAAAGAAAACAAAAATATGGAAAGGATGAAAGCTAGTTATTCAAAATGCTGGACACCCACATTTCCAACCATGGTTCAAGTCCCAGATCTGGTGGCTTGAAAATCATACCAGGTGTGTGCACATGTAAGCCCAAAATCCCAGGAGGGGAATGGAGGAGAAGATACTATGGCATGGCCATTGCCCCCAGCAAGTGATTTCTCATTTTCTCTTTCACTGTCTCTCTCTCTGGTGAGTGCATGTGCCTATGGCAAAAAACTTAAAAAAAAAAAAAAAGAGAGAGAGAGAGAGAAAAAAAAAACACAAAACCCCATTCTTCTAGGTGAATGGGGTTTTACAGGTTCCTAAAGAACATAAAAAATCTAATGTGTCATATAATCCTAATCCTATCATCAAGCATTTTCTTCTACAATTTTTGCATGTGTTTGGTTCTGCTTCATTCTCTGCATGAGCAAAGAGGAAGATCATAGTCTTGGCCAAAGTGACATGGCCAAGACAAAATGTGCACTGGGAGCCCCTGGCCTTCCTGCTTTGCAGTTTAAAGGCATATCTTAAACAATGGAAAAGTCCGCGTCTCCCATGTTTCAGCAACTGTCCTCACCTCCCTTGACTCCTGATCTTTCTGTTCACTCTGGGCTTCTGTGCTCTCACTGATGTAGTTCTCGGTTTTCCATTGGTCTGTATCCCACTCTGCCTTGGACATCTTAACTTTCTGCTGTTCGCTGAGCAGTTTCATCAGGAGACCGGTTCTGGACATGAGCTTTGCGCAGGCCAGTTGCACACGCGCCCCAGAGCAGTCCATTTTCAATGTCCGGATGACATGAGAAATGAGCCTTCTCACATCATTGTTGGGGATGAGGGACTGTAGCTGCTGGTTCAACTGAATTTCAAACTGATCCCCCAGGGATAAGGGTGGTAGGTTGGAGAAGCCTTTGGGCTTGGGGGGTGAGTTGGTGCCCATGTTGTAGTCCCATTGTGTTTCACCACTTTGTTCAACAGTTGGCATTAAGTTGAGTGAGGTCACAGAGGAATGTAGAGCAGCAGTGTTTTCAGAGTTAGTTTCTTCTGGCACAGGACTGTTTTCTATAGCAACATTTTCTTCAAAATCATTTCTTGGACTAATCTTTTCTACAATGGTGTTTTCTGCAGAAGGTTTAGCCAGTGTTTCTGGAAACAGATTTTCCTGAGGGCTCAGATCTGAAGATGAAAAAGGCTCCCAGGAAGGGGAATTAATGAGGCTCCTCATTAACGAGAATGGAGGCCTTTTTGCAAGCATCAGTCTCCTGAACATATCTTTCCTTCTCAACTTTGGATTCAGTTCAGACTCGGGTGTTCTGTGGACCACATGAGAATGAGTTTTATCAAGGTGGTGATTTGGGGGGGAATGTAAGGTTGGTTTAGGAACCTTCATATTTTTAACTCTAGAATTTGCATATTCTAAAACAGAAAAGGTGTCCGTTAAGTCATCTGATTTCTTTCCAACCTCAAGCAGGGATTTTGCAGTGGTGGAAGCAGAAGGCCTGTGCATCACGGGATGTGGCAAGCTCGAAGAGGCTGCTGCCTTATGTTCCCGTGGGAACGACCGCTCTGGGTGGAAGGAGTTTCCCGCTAGCTTCCCGGGCCCCTGCTCCGCGTACAGCTGCTCTGGCTCCCTCGGGCTGGGTTTCCTGAGCCTTATTTCTTTGGAGATGCTCTGTACAGATTGCTGGGCACTGTGTTTGTTCTCATTTCTCTGATCCCTTATTTCTTTCAGTTTCCTCTTCTTGTTGCTCTTTGGGCCTTTGATGACGGTGTTCTCTCTTTGTGGCCTCTTCTCTACATTCTCGTTCTCTGCCAGGCTATTTTCCTGGGGTTGGGCAGTTTCTGATTTCTTTGGAAAGATTTGGCGTTTAAATTTGGGACCTAAAAGGCTAGACTGAGTAAGCATGGCAATTTTTTCTTTTTTATTGACCTCATCCATTTTTTCTTGAATTTCTTCATCTAGCAAATTTTCCAGAAAATAGGGCTTCTCCAATTTATTTTCATAAGTGGGATCACTGGATTCAAGTTCAAGAGAAGGACTCCTTCTATTGTCTTTAGAAGAACCCAAGGGCTTACCTTCATTTTGTATATTTGCAAAAAGCAGTTTAATGAATGGTAATAATGTTGATTCAGCATCTTCTATATTACCCTCCGAAATATAAGGCAATACGTAATTTAATGCACTAATAACATCACTCTCATCATTAAAATCTAGCTGCTCATCCATGATGGCTGAAACATTGACATCAGTTTTGTTTGAGGACACCGTGTCTGGTTCAATAATTAGCTCGGTGCTGGTCTTCTTCTTCCGGGCTTGTAATATCTTCATGAATGGTCCTTCCGCATTCTTTATAGATGCTTCTGCAACTGTCAAAAAAAAAATAGTTTTGATAATGGAAGATGGACGAGACAGCTTTTTGTCAGCCCAAAGCAGATATCCTTGTCAAATTAATTGGGAGAAAGCAAACATTTGGGTGCCATTTAGAAAGGAGAAAAATAAACCCAAACCTAATCCTATAAAATAACAACAGGAGAAAAGGACATCTATATAAAAAGTGGCTACCTACTCAGAACATTCCATAATGTGAAATACCATAACTCTATGTAGGATTATTCCACTGGTCTCAATGGCCAATTTCCCAGTACCCAATAAAAGCTCAAAGCTGGAAGACAAATATTTCCCTGCTCAGCTAGCCTCTCTCGATCTGCTGTTCACATACCACACACCATTTTGCCTCAGATGCAGAGGCAGTACAAGCCTTCCTCCTTCCACCTTTTCAGTCTGCTTGTATTCTTAATACCATCATAAATGACCACAACAAAAGACAGTCTTCTAAGGGGTGCAAAGGCAGAGATGTTAAAGCAGAGGCTCTGGGCTCTGGGGTGTGGTAGTTAAGGCTGATGGATCCCACATGGCCGATTGTGTGGATCAAGTCCTGGACCCAGCAGGTTGAAAAATACACCAAGTACAGGTGTATATGTGCCCAAAATCCTGAGAGGAGAACTGAGAAGAAGGGATTGCAGCATAGCCATCACCCCCCAGGTGGTGTTTTGTCACTTTCTCTCTCTCTCTATCTCTCTATATATATCTCTCTCTCCAGTGAGCAAATGCAGCCTATAGAAAAAAACTAACAAAACAACAATAGTTTAAAAATTCTTGTTCAGCCCATCTCTGGGGGGGGAGAATGGAGTAATATAATTGGTAAAAATAGTTTTGAAAAATAAGCACAGTGTTTATACACACACACACATATACACACATATATATATGTATCTATACATATACACATATATATACACACACACACACATATATATGTAAAAGTGTTACTATTAATTGTTTGCCTCAGGTTTTGGGGAGAGACTTGTATTCATGTTATGTGGACATAAAAGCAGCCACATTTTGGAGGTCATGAAGTTAATACTAATATATAGAAATACACTTAAAAGTGTTCTATGGAAGGAAAAGCTCGAGATTTAAAACAAGTTCAGAATTAGACAATCTGTGAATGAGCAATTCTTCCATTCTATTTCCAGTCAAGAAGCAATTTCTGATTATAGAACTAAAAATTCTTAGACTTCAAATAAAGCTGCATTGCTACTACTCTATTATGAAATTACAAAACCAAGACAAAGTTGCAGCTATACTTGCCCTCTAAGGCAAAGGGCACTTGGGATCTAGCAGATATAAAAACACTGTACACAGCTGTACGAGTAAGTTATAACTGGTGGGCAAACACCAAGCAGAGAGCACAGACACAGTGTGTGGCCATTAGGGTTATCGCCTTCCTCTTCCATTTCCTTCTCTTGGTCCTTTATGCATTTAGAACATTCATGTTATTAACTTACGTAATTATAACTGAGAACCTGATTTTTACCAGGGAGTAGTTCAGGAATTTAGAGAGTAACTCTGGACAAATTAATACAAGTAAAGCAGTTACATCATTAATTTTTAAATGTATATAATCAGGGACTAGCAAGTGGTGTGGTGGTTACAACGACTGAACTCCCACATCACTGACTGAGGTTCCAGCATCCGACCTGGAGTTTTGCTTTCTCACTTTCTGCCTCTCTCTCTAGCACACGAGATCTATAGCAAATTAAAAAATAATAATGATAAAGTTAAATAAATAATTCTTTTCAAAAAAAGTACATTTAAAAGTAAAAAATTTAAGAACAGATGAGTAAAAGTCAAAAATCGTATCATTAAGCAATTCAGACTCACGACACTGTGTGCTCTTTGTCAGACATGAACTGTCACAATGCAGCTTGACTGTCTTGCATACAACCTCAATGTCACTTTTATATTGGCAGAGACAGCAGGTCATTTGGCTAGGTAAGATCCTAAAATACAAAAAGAAAAAATTAAATTAATGACAAAGGGTTTACTTGAGTACATAGAAGAGGCAAACCGAAGCTACCACACAGCTGAACAAAAAGACTTCTTGAGACATATGACCTGGGCATTTGGGCAGAACCAGGTGGTAAGTTGCTGCTCTTGAATACTGAAAAATCAATAAATAGGAAGGAGGATAGAGGTGCCCAACAGAAGAGTAGGCATGGTGATAGATATGGTATGCCCAGAATAAAGGTGCTAGGGATTAGAACTAGGTGACTTCAATCTGTAGTTTAATTATCTCCTCCTAACGCCAATGCCATAGTTTGGGTTGAGAATACATAAGAAGAAGGTATTAACTTTAACAAGCCCCTCAACTTTTGGAGTGCCTTTCTGGAGTGGTAAACAGAAGTCACTCTGGACATAAAATGCAGTTTAGGGGCTGACCCCATAGCCTAACGTTAAAGGGATTTGGATCCCATGTAACGGATTGTGATTTGAATTCCAGCCCTGACAGCTTTAAAAACATACCGCACTCGGGAACCAGCAGTTAGCGTAATGGCTATGTCTCTGGATTCCCACGTAGTCAACCGTGGTTCGTGTCCCGGACCCGGTGGCTTAAAACTCACGCCGGGCACGTGTGCGTGCGTGCCCAAGATCCCGCGCGGA